ATCGCTTTTCAGTTGGGGTTCCGGGACTTTTCCGTGGGGTTCCTGTGCTTGAGGGGAAGAATGGATTGGAAACGGGTGTCAAAGTGGGAGTGTCAAAGAAATGGGGTGTCCTGTTGGTTTCCCCTACCCACTCCAAAATTTTCACAGTCAAAGCAAGACACACCCAAATCAAGCCGGTGACCTGGTAACAAAGCACCGTGTGAAAGCGATGCCGAGCTGTTTTTTGCAGAAACTACAACTCTGGATTGCGGGGGGACCAAGTAGAGGGGATCTAGTTATTTTTATTTTTATTTTTTGCGGCCAAGGTTGTTGCATGGATCTATGTTGCTCCTTGCACAAGCGGTACACCTGAATGACAGCCAATGGGTGGGCAACCGTGAAGTTGAGGCCAATGTCAATCATACCCTCCAGGCAAAGCATTTGCTGTTTGCAGATGCCAGATCCTTGAAGGTCACGCATCAGTTTTTTTTTCCCACAGCGCGAGAGTCTTTGTTTGCGCGGGGGTTTGCTGGCTGCCCGTAAAAGGATCTAAGTTGTTTGCGGGAACCGATCGGGAAAACTTTGGGAGGTCCGTTTGGAGGCAGAGCGACCTTTGTCCGCCTTTGTTGCCCGGTTTTGTCTGAGCCGGACCAACGTCCGGAGGCGAACCCAGGGTTCACGGATGCCCTCAACGAGATGGCGGCGAGGTATCCTGGCAAGGCGTGCGCGGAATTCGGGGCACCCTGTTGGGCATGGTTGTGGGAGCCTTTGTTTTGGAACCCCTTTTGGTTGATTCTGAGGAAACCACAAGGAAGCCACCTGGTTTGGAGGTTCCTTTATTTTGAGACCAACCCAAATGAAACTTCAGGACAACTTTCGGCGAGTGCCCAAAGAGCCCCCAAGACAAAGTAGTTATAGGGAAGGCCGAGTTCGGTCATCATCATTTGCCACCATGCTGCTGGCCTTCCAATTTCTCGGCTGGGGGCGGGGGCCGGCGGTGGGCAGACCTCTGCAGCATGACGTGCTGCAGGTTGAACGCATCCCCATGTTCCTGTGTCCGTTTGGGGAATGAGTTGAATACTACTCGCTGAAGTTTGAATGGAAGCCTCTTGGACATTACACAGGCAGGCTTTTTATGATTGATACCCTGGTTCTGACACACTTCTCCCTGTTTCATGGTCCCCTAAGTGAGTCACAACGAGGGTTACTCATGACAAGTTTGATGCTCGTCAGAGGACCCCATATGGACGATTTCCTGATAGGGGCTTGCCGCGCTTGATTAGCACGGTCCCCCGTCAAAAAATCCGAAGTCAACATCAAGGGCGGAAAGAAGATGCCACAATTCCCCGTTTTGGTTTAGTGATCCCCTTTACTTGCCCACATCAAGGGAATTGTGCCATCTACTTTCTTAAAATGGTGGACCACCCCCCCACCGTTCAGCAATTTCGCATGCGTCAGGTCCATGTGAATGCGTCGCACGCCGCATACATGTGCGATGCCAAGACGGCGCGAAGCTCAGTTCAACGTACAAGGGACCGGCACGGGCGTGTGGAAAACCGATTTTCTGTAAACCAACCCCCGCAATGGTTATCCTCAAACAAATACATCCCCAAATTATTCAAGAGGAGCGGATCATATGGAACCTGCAAAAACCGACCAAATCCAACACCCATGCAGATGTCAACGCGAGCTGGCAGAGAACGGGAAGCAAGAATTGTCCTGAACAGAAAGCGAAAGGGGCTGACTAATTTTTGGGTTTGCCTTTGCGGTGGCAAAAAGCCTTGTAAATGTACTGTTCGCCTTTTTGGTTTTGCACATTTCTCCCTTTCAACCATTTGAGGCTAGTTCGTTCGGCCACAGTTTACTTTGCTTAGATTGGTTCAACGGGAGCTTTCTACGAGGAACCCACCCAGTTCTGCAGGCACTGTTTTGGGTCATATACCTTATTTGGCGCCAGACCCCTAAGTCCTATTGTCACATCCCCCCAAAAAAATACGCCCCCGCAATCCCAATAGGGGCCAACAGCAACTAATGCGCGCAACTCCCCTACAAATGAGCGTGGAACCACAAAGAGGTGTTCCCAAAAGGAGTTTCCCCACCAAAAATGTGGCTAACCATGTTAAGCTGTAGGGTTCCCAGTAGACGTCCCTTGGGAGGGGCACCGGCGAGGCCTTCTACATCAACAGCCATGAGTCGAAGTCCGGTTACCGCTCCGGGGTAGCGCAAGGCTTCCAGCAGGCCGGTGTCCCCCTCTTTTTTGAGGGGCAGGGTTTTTCAGGAGCAGGCTTGTGAGGTGGGAAAGGATGGACATGCAGTCTTTTTAGTTTTGAAATCGCAGCAGGAGGCCGGGGGGAGCCACGCAGCCCAAATGGAGATGGTTTGGATTTCGATTTGAAGCTGGCTTTTGTAGAGGCCAGCTACCCTAACCCTGCACCTGGGTGAAAGTTGATGCAACATCAACTAGTCATCCCCTTTGCCCACATCAAGGGAATTGTGCCATCTACTTTCACCCTGGTGTAGAGACTTGGGAGGAAACCGCTCCGGTCCAACCCTCCAAGCCACCATGAATGGTGGTTTCAAGCACGTTTCTCCAACGAACCCCCGCGCGATTTCGCCAGCGAAATCGCAGCGACATCGCAACGGAAGTGGGGGGGGGGGGCTCGCCTTTCGGAAGTTGAAGCTGGGCGGGTGGGTCGCAGGCATCCTCTTTGGAAGCCGAGCTGGGCCAGGTGGAGGTGAGCTGGAAGGGCTGGGGAGGTGGTTGCGCTGTTTGTTTCTTTTTGCCGTTTCAGAGGTTGGTCTTAGGGAAGCCCCAAGGACAGCCATTCTTTTTGGGCGTGATGCGGAGGGGAGCCTTCTTTGTCAGAAGACTCAAAAAACACATGGGTTGAGTGGGTCTTAAGAGACAAGCCACTTTGTTGGAAGAGGGACAGAAGCACGTGGCAAAGGCAGGAATCCCACAGAGGCAGGAACAAACACCGGCGGTTGAAGAGCGCTTTGCAAGACGCAGGCGGTGAGTCGGAGCAATCGCATGCTCCGTTCCAGCGCCATACGGCTTCTTAGGCTTGTTGTGGAGTTTGAACCATTGAAGGTATTGGTGACATGGGTGCTTCTCAGAAATAGGGGCCCCTTCTCGAGGTGGGTAGTTCCTCTTAGCTTCCTTTTTAAACCTCGAAAGGGGGCTTGCCCCAATAACGACACACGCATATCCCACTCCAATTTCGACTTTTTGCAGGGGATCCACGAACCACTAAGTCCAACGTTGCATGGCACCTGCTCCTCTGCCACCAGAAGCAGTCTGCCACCAGAAGCAGTCTGCCATTGATTGCTGTTCCAAACTCTCACGCAGCGATATTCCGTGTTTGTTAACCATCTTTTGTCGGATGGGAAAAGACAGCGCTCGAGCAGTAGCATGAGTGGCCGTTTTGTCCTATATCCTGGCAGCGTCTTTCAGCATGCGTCCTTTCCCCTTTGTATCGCTGGCAGGTTGAAACCATGAACATCAACCGCCTCCTTGTGGAGAACACGATCCCAGGCGCGAGCCGTCTGGACTCAGGATGGCCTGTTTGATTCTTGGGCAGCCACCATGCCAACTTGATGCACTTGGATGAATGACGAGGTGTCGTGCATCCGTGTTGCTTCGTTGTTGGCAGCTTGCCACTACTCAGAAGCTGGGATACTTGTCTCTAAAAAGGACCAACCGTTTGGTGATGGACTCCAAGACCGAAGGGAACGCCATGATGTTGGGGGGGTGCACCAAAAACCGACGAGCCGCCCATGTGTTGCTTTCGTTGGGCTCTTGATCGCAGTCCCGGAGGCGATTGGGTGATGCTTAAGATGGACGTGGAGGGGGCTGAGTCGCTTCCTCATGGCTCTTTCGATCGAAGCGCCGAGCCTCGATCGGCTCGGTCTGGGGTCGTTGCTCCCAAAATATTTCACGAGCCGTGTGGAGCAAAAAGACACGGTGAACTCCTACAACCTCAGCATCCAATGCGTCGACAAGTATCTCTCGGCTCACACAAAGACTTTGCAATTCTTCAAACCCTATTTCAGGCACGGGCACCAGCATGATTGCAAGCTCTACGAGTGAGGTGGAATTCGGACCACTGGTCAACAGTAATGCATGAGGCCACTCTCGGAGCCACTCACACGGAATTTGGTTTCGTCTATCCAGACTTCTTTTTTCCGGCACCGGCGTGATTGCAAGCTCTTCCAAGAGAAACAATCAGCCACTCACGCAGGCGCACACAGAGATAATGATCGGCCACTCACGCAACTCACACGGACATTTTCATCTCTCCGGACTCCCCGGGCCGTTCTGAGCCCCCGAACCGAACCGAAGCGACCCCGAGGTTCGACATCGTCCCCTGCATGGCCGTCTCCCCCGCTGGCAGCCTGGTGGACAGGCCGACCCGAGTTGTCCCGAGTCGTCGGGTGTGCCATTTTTTTTCTTGAGTTGGTAGCGGTTTCACTTTTTTGGGTGGCTTTAAAGGGAAGCCAAAAGGAGCACAACAATACCTTCTTGCGGCAGAGCTGGGCAGCCTTAGTAGAGCTTCACCAATGGGCCAAACTTGAACCACTCGGGGAAGCCGCTGAAGTCCGGCCGAAGAGCTCGTGGGTTTTTGAGGGGGGGGGACTTAGTTTTCCTCACTGAGCCCAACGTTTGGATGTACCGACCATTTGCAGTGTCCCAAGAGGAGGCGACTTTCGGGCCACATGGATTTGGTTCGCCGGCTCGCTCATGCTCGAAGCTTATAGGCTGAAAGCGGCAATGCTTACCACATGGAGATAGAGCAGAGTCACTTTGAGCCTTGACGCAAATGCCTGAGTTTCATATAACTCCATATCTGTTTACAGCTATTTGGAAAAATACAACTTTAAGTACTCTATCATTTGCATATCAGTTTGACTACTAGTGTATCTCAAGAAACTTTGACTATACACTGCTCAGAGTACTTTGACTTGCGAACTCACTAAAATCAGCTCGGTTTTCAGTTGTCTTCACGTGGCTTTTCTTGACCAGAGCCCCCCCGCTTTCCCGTTGAAAGTCTCACAGACACCAACGCCTGGCGTGCCCAATGCCGTCCTGATGCCGCCGCCTGCGGGGATGCGCTACCAGCTGGGTCTGCATTTCCTGGGCATCTCGCGGCCCCAGGCGGCGACATTGGGCTCACTGACCCAAACGGGGGGTGCTGCACCCAATGAAAGGACCGCTTTTCAGGCCCAGTTCGGACCCCGAAGCGCCCCATCTCCATTCTTCTTGGTGGTTCCCGGCCATCCTTTGAGGTTTTGGGGTGTTTAGTTGGTTTGGTGGTTGGGCTTCCAGTTCACCCGCCAAAGGTTCAGCAGGGCATCAGAAACCGGCCAGCCCAGTCTGTGCAGCATCTCTGGGACCTAGCCCGAGTCACCGAGTCACCGAGTCACCGAGGGCTGGCTGGAGCGGCTGGAGCGGGAGCCGGAGTACGAGCTCATCATCCAGGCCGGGGAGGTGGGGAAGCGCCTGCGCCCCCGGATCCCGGCGCCGCCCGCGACCTCGAGCGGAGGCGTGTCGGAGGAGGAGCTACGGGGGATGGTGCCTCGGTTCAAGAGGAAGACAGGTTTGGGTGGGTCTTCTTTTAAGGGTACCGTCTTCTTGGTAGTCTTAAAGGGACGTCAAGAGGAACACTGACTTCCATATTGTGAACCCCTCTGAAAGCGACCCACACACACACACACACACCCTTTAAAAACTATTTTATTCTTGGGTTCGGTGTTTGTGACATCTTCCACATGCTCTTTTCAGACTTTTAGGTGTTGAGATGGGGTCACAAACGGCCTGGTCGTTTGTTCGGGCGTCAGCGAGCTGAGGTGCCGGGGGGCCACTTGCTGCGCCTGGAGGAGCGCACGGCGGTGCGCCTGGGCGAGCCCATCAACTTCGCCTGTATCGAGGTCTGGGAGGAGAGGGCGGGGCTCCTTGGCAGCTCCCGGCGACTCGGCATCGTTTTGGTTGTTAGAGGGGGGGGGGGGGGGAAACCCGCAGGTTTTGCTTGGGGAACCAGATATTCGGTTCCGGAGGTTATTTCTTGTTTGGGTTTTTAGTGGATCTAGTGGTTGGGTTTCCCCATTTCACCCACCAGTCAAACTTTTGGCAGGGGATCAGTTTGGACAGCCCAGAGGACAAGGGGCGGTTCCCCTCTTTGACCCCGGAAAGTGGAACCCATCCTGCTCATAGGGGTTGGGGCTGATCCAAAAGTGGTCTGAATCCCCACTAACCCAGGGACATCCCCTATCAATAGACTGTCCGGGGTTTCCATTTGGGTGGATAGGTGTCCTTTTTCGATTCGTTTGGTCAGAAGTAGTTGGGTTCCACGGCTTAGATCGGGTTTCTGCCCCATTTAAAATAGGGCCATGTATTTGGCCAGAAGGACACCTGTGTTTGGGTGTGTCGTTTTGCAGGAGGGTACTTTGTTTTTTAAAGACACCCTTGCCATCTCGGAAGTTCCCCAAAAGAAGACACACCCATTGGGTTGGATCTTTGGACGTGAACGTTTTGGGCTTTCTTCCCCAGATTTCTTCCCACTGAACAGAACAAGTTGTTGAAGATCCCAGGCAAGCCGCAAAAGCAGGCACCGGGTTTCTTACCTCTAGCTTGTGCGTGATTTCCCCTGGTTCCCTTTTCCCTAAGGTTCAACCTTGCTTTGGATGGTCACCATCCTTAGGTAAGGAACGGTTGTATTCACCCATGGTTTTAATGGTAACCTCAAGCCCAGGAAGCAGCTGGGCCAGTGCTACGTGCCTTTGGAGCAGCGCTTCAACAAGAGGCTCTGCACCTGGTCCATCACCAATGCCGACCAAGAAGTTGGCTTTGTCGCCTCGTGGCGCCAATGCCCTTGGACTTGTAGACTTTTTTAGATGTTTTTAGAGGTTTGGACTTGTAGACTTGTAAAAGTTTGGAGTCTTGAACTTGAGTGTTTGTTTGTCTATTTTTAGACTTTTTGGGACTTTTGGCATGTTAGAGTGTAGAGGGAATGATCTATCCCGGTGAATCACGAGGTTTGCAGGTTTTTCCTGGGGACCACTCCGGCACCTGTCCGGAGTCTGCACGTGGTGACGGGCACGTGCCGGGCCAACGAGCTCCGATTGGTCTGGGAGCCGCCCTTGAGCGACGGGGACTTGCCGCTGCGTGGCTACCGCGTGGAGGCTCCAGCCAGATTTGGGTGTGGTGGCCAGAAAAAAAGGGTAACCCCAACATGGGTTGCCGGAAATGCGTTCACTTGGTGGTTCCCTGCCAGTTTTTTGGTTTTGAAGGTATTTAGTGGGTTTAGTGGCTGGAAAATGGAAACAACTAAAACCTGAGTCCAAATCCTAGTGGTTTTCTTTTGCCCCATAACTTTTTGTCGGGAAACGTGTCAACGGAGAACCCCAAGAATGGATCTCGATCTTCATATCGGTTTCTGGTCAAAACGATTACGCTCAGAAACACTTCGGCACGCTTGCTTAAGCTGGCGGGCCCTTTTGGTGGCCAGGCAAAGGGAAAACAACAGAAACCAAAAGGACACAGATAGGATTCCTTCCTAAAAGGACCTGCAAGTTTTTTTCATTCCCCAAAATGGATTTCGGCTTTGCGTTTGGTTTCCCTTAAAAACCTCCCCAATCAAGGGGCACTCCCAATCAATTGCAGCCAGACCTCCATTTCGTGGTTTTTCCGTAACCCGAAAGGATTCCTAAAGGAAGCCACCGGGAACCGTCCCAGCCATTTTCGGGCGCTGATTTTCCTCTCAAGACCTGCATGTTTTTTTTTTGTCTCAAGACCTGCATTTCGGCTAGCTTTTCGTTCTTTTTGATTTTTGCAAGCCAAAAAGGAGAACCGGCTCGCCAAACAAACTTCTTGTTGTTTTTTGTAGGACACCAACAGAGGCACCCGTTTCAAACGCCGTTTTTTTTTTGGGGGGGTGCCCCCAAAAAACCGACAGACCTCTAGGGGTTGATTCCCCATTCTTTTCAACCCTCGTTCTTTCCAAAAAACGACAGCTGGTTTTTATCAGGGTTTCTGGAGCTTTCTAACAAAAATACCCCTGGAAAGAATAAAAATAGAAAATACCCCTGGAAGACCCCGCGCCTCTCGTTTTTTTTTCCCCTCCGACGCCAGGCCCGGGAGCCCCAGTCCGGGGCCCGGCTCGGCGGGAGCGCCGGCTTCTTCTCGGAGCCCCGCACCGCCAGCGCCCCCGCCTCCAGCGAGCCGCAGGTCACCTTGACGAACCTCGCGGGGAACACGGTGTACATCATCCGGGTCTGGGCCGTGAACCCTGGTGGATGAAACAAAAACCAAAGAAACATTCTCTCTTTTTTTCTTTTTGGCAAAAAGAGGTCCTTTTTCTTTTTGTTTTTTTTTGTTCTCCGCGAAATCGGTTTGTCTTTCCTTTTTTGCTGTCCGTGTTTTTGGCCATCTGTTTTGGCCATCCTCTTTGCTTGTTCTTTGCCATCGTTTGTTTGCAATGTTTTTCCTGCGGGTTTTCCTTGAAACCGACCCAAAAAGGGCTGCCTCCAAAAAGAACACACTCAGTAGATTAAAGTGAGACCCACACAGACAGAGAGCGAGAGACACACAGACACACAGACACACAGACACACTTTTGCTGGATGCCAAGGGAAATTCTAAAAACCTGAGCAGGCCCTTAGGGCCTTCTAGGGGCATGTTGCCAAAAAGATGGTCAAACAAATGTCGTAGACAGGGTTCTGTGGCAATCAACCGGAAGGGGATCTCCTCAAAGGAAACCACGTCGAGGGCCATCCCGCCCCTGCGCAAGGCTAAGCTGTTGGTTGGGGAATCCTTCCAACCAAATATGGCGTGGTTGCCTCTGGATCCAGTTTCCCAGTCTCCCATTTTTCGAGTCATTTGGGCCCTTGCTTTATTGTGGGCACCCTTTTTTGGGCTTGTGAAGGGGTCCATTTGGGTTTGCCTTTTCACCCGCAACTTTTCGGGTCCCTGTCCCCTTTTGGTTGAGGGAAACCAACAGGAACCCACTGCCATGCTTTTGGCGTTTTTTTTTGTAGGCACCCTTTTTGGGCTTGTTAAGTTGTTAAGGGGTTTAAACGGGGGGTCCCCTTTTTGGTTGCGAAGTTGGAACCCCCGCCAAACGAGAGAGAGCTGCACCCCGCGGCCCGATCCGTTGGATCCGTTGGATCCGAGGAACGAGGCGGGCGCCGGCCCGGCGGCCGAGGTCATGGGGCAGACGGGCCCCGTGGCCCCGGGGTTGTGCGGCTTGGCCAAAGGCGCCACGGACGAGGCGCGCGAGCGTCGTCGGGACCGCGCGTGTGTCCGCGTGTCGCCGACGGCGTGCGACCGCTCGACGGGCGTGTCGAGCGCAAGGCGGTTTGCAGGTGGTTCCAAGGTACAAGGATCGAGGGGTTCGGGGGTTGCAAGGTGGGGGGTTCCCAGGCATCGATCCGGTTCCAGAAAGGCTTTTGGAAGTTTCTAGTTGGTTTTAGTTGTGGTTGAACCACTGAAAGGTTTCGACCTTTTGCAGGGGATCTGGGAACAGCCCAGGGTCGCAACGGTTTTGGAAGAACAATGTCTTGGGTGTGTTTTAGGTTCTTTGGAATGGGTCTGAAGGGAAACCAGTTTGGGATTTGTGTGCTAATTGATTGTCACCCGTTATGGTCGTTTATAGGGAAACCAAAAGGAGGCTGTGTGACTCGTGGTTCGCATGGTTTGCGGGTTGGGGATGTGTCAAAATAGGGATTGGAGCTCTGAAATGGTGGCTGTCCTCTTGATCTCCCTTTAAACTAGGGTACCTCAAACAAGAAACACGCCCATATAGTGTGCAACAATCAATTAGAACCTAGACCCCAAATTGTGGATTTATCATCCAGTTTGTGGGAACACCAACTGATTTTACCAACTATAGACTGCTATAGCGAAGCACATCTGAATAAGTTCAGCCACCAATCCGTAGCCCAATTCCTTCAAAGGCAAACGAAAGGAGGTGGGTTCTATCCAGGGTTGGTGGCAAAGGTGTGCTTTAAGGGAAGAGGACTTGGC